GCGCAATTAATAAATAGTGCTTATTGTTATTTATATTCTCCCAAATTATGTCGATTAATCAATGCTATAATAATTTTTGTTTTGTTGTGTATAATGTAAGAATTAAGCTACTAGAATCTTATTTTACTGATCTGGCTAGGTTATCAACTTTCGGTGTAATATGTATATCAACCTTTAATATTTAATGTTACATAATCCTGTATTATTAAATAATATTTGTCCATAAATAATCATTAGAATAATTAAGATAAACAATGTTTAATATTATCTCTTAAGTTTACAAATTTAATATTAAATTAAGTCAAGATATTTTTGTATAAATACATCTATACCGCCATATTGAATATATCGGGCATTAGTATTCTAACCGTTGTAACGTGCATTAAAAGTGTTCCTTTATATAACGTATCGTCATTTACGCCGCCACCCTGAGAACCCACCTTCTATAAAATATACACTTATAAACATTCATATAAGTTTATGATAGATCTTGTATGAAGTTTGATTTTTATCAATAATTGTTTCAACATTTTTCAAGACCTATTTTAAATTTTAATCTCTTTAATTATTCTATCACTTCGTTTCTTTCCATATAAAATATTTTACGTATCATACCATCTATAAAGAGGAAAAGTTTTCCATCTCGTTGTTTTAAGTTGAGTTAAACGTTCAACGTGTTTACTACAAAATTATCAATAAATAGTCGGCTTTGTAGATTAAGAGATTCTGTATGTATAAGACGTTTTTGTTATTTATAAGGAAGATATAATCTGACTTTATAATTCTATTATTGATATAAGTTGAAATAGTAACAATAATTTCCGTTGTATGAAACGATATTTTACTCTTCTATGTTCTTATTAAGATTTAAATTGTTTTATTATATTATGTATTAGCATCGAAGATTTAAATAAAATGCTTACAAATTAAAGAAATCAAATGATATGATTATATTATTAAAATTATTCCAGAAGTAACCATTATAACTATCAATTAGTGGTTACTGACGATACACATATGATGCAAGAGATATATTTACTTGATTACATTTAAGAAAAACGTAGAAGAGATTTAACTAATTTTGTATAAATAATTTGAAAATCACAAAAGAAACAAAGCTTAGACTTTCAATATAATGAAATTTCAATAATGATTTCTTAGATAATTTAAAGTAAATCTTTTGTTATATTTATTCCAAAAATAATTTGTAACAAAGCTTTTAGTTTTCATCATATAATTAGTCTAGACGCTGTTATCTTAAAGTAATGCAATGGATTTAATTGAAAGCCAGTTTTCTACAAGTATATATTGTGGATTTATATTTAATTCTATTTAATAATAGCCATGAAGTGGAATTATGAGATTTGTTGGACAAGAAGCAATTACTATTGTAATAAAATATATAACATTGAAATAAAAGTTTTTAAAGATAATTATTACAATAAATTGTCGGTAAATGTGAAATTTCTCCTTCAGATATCAATAAAAAATGAAATAAGTACTTGAATTAATATGTTCTTCAGTTAAAAAATATCGAAAAAAGAGTTTATTGAAAATTAATCGTAGATAAATATAAGTATAATACATTATTAAGTGAGTTTTAAAAACTGTTTTAATAAAAAAATCTCTTTTGTCGGAGTTGCGACGGAAAAACAGCAGTTATTTTCTTAAAACCACCAAAAGTGAACACTTAGTTTACTATTATAAAAATACACTAGCTATATTTTGTTTTATTAACCTTGGTTACTCGAATACTCAAAAGTAATGAAGAAGTTAAAAAAACATTATTTTAACACGCAACATTTGAACAACACTTTTATGAATTACTTTTACGATATGGATAAACAATGAAACAAATTAACTACGCATTACACATTATAATCGGTAAATTTCAATTAATTAAAGCAATAAATATCAGCAAATATATATGGTAAAGATAAAATCACTCTTTATTAATGTGCCTAAATTGACAATTATTAATATATCACAGTATATTCCTAATAAAATTTCCTTTAGGTACTCCACAAGTTTTTAAATTATATTAATATAAGGTATAAGATTTATTCATGTGATAAAAATAAATTTTGTATCTTTCTGAACGTTTGTATTTAATAATTTCCTTCGCCTCCCTTTCATGTGACATTTACGGTGACTTCCGTTAATATTGAGGTCATTCCGAGCTCGTTCAAAGCAATCTAATTTCAAGTTACAAAGTAGAATGAAAAATTATATGTTTAGGTCAAGAGTATATGGGCTGTTTAGAATGTTTTAAAGATTGTAATTGATAGAATGTTTAAACACGTTAGAAAATGACAATTCTTAAAATAAGTTGCAAAATCATCACTAACATTGATAACCCTTACAAAGTCGAGGTACTGTGATTACACAAAATATATAAAACAAACGTAGGATTTATTGCACTGTAAAAACCTCTTACAGAAGAATTCCAAACACAATACATCACAAGTTATATATTACATTCACATACACTTTATTAAGTTGCTAAATACAGACAGAAAATTATTTCTTAGAAGGGTAATAAGACCTCTGGACAAACTTATAATAAGGTTTTTAATATAAAAATAGTTCTTTATTTAATATCCTTTAGAAACCCCATCTCGAAAACTTTTCAAATGAAATTCTGTTTTGAAGAACTTCTTAATTTATTTCATCAAAAAAATAATATGAAACGGCAAACTATTATTTGCTACGTACTAGATACTTGCTATTTTTAAAATTACTTCTCAAATACTTGCAATAAAGTGAGTGTTTATTACATATTCGAAGTAAATTGACGTTGTTGAAGGCAGGCAGCATTAGGGGATGTGATATCATGTCAGCACATCTGCATGAGTCTTTGAAAACGAGCGGTTTTGGTTGAGTAATGGCAGTCTTGAAAATTCACTTCAACACTTCTTGAACTCGCGTTGTTTACTAAGAACTTTGAGATCCCTGTACATTCCTGATGTACCAGGATATGAATGTGACTATGTACATACATGCATTTATTTTGAAGAACTTGAAGTTTTTGATGGCTTAAGGACGTACGCGTACAAAGAACTCACTTGTGTGTAATATAACTGAAAAATGCAGGGCTTGTAAAGTGTGACCTTATTTTTAAAGGACATTTTACTTTAACTACAGATCAAAGGTGGCCTAGGAAGTAGGCAACTTCTGCTTTCTATCTGAATGTTTGGGCAAAAGGAGAAAAGCTATATGAAACTATCGAGAGTGACTGCAAGAAATTTGGATATTTTTAAAACGAATAGGGGCGGTTTTTCCATTTAAATCATTTCTTTTGCAATGAAAAAAAATATTTACAATAAGATGCCAATAATATGATGTCAATAAGAATTACAAACATAAACTGAGTATTAACTTAAACAACTTTTAAAAATATACCTCATATATAAGCTACACTTCAAAGATAATTGAACCCTGTACGAGATAGGGAACTTGGCAAAGAGGTTAAAAAAAAGTACTTCCGAAAACAGCATTTATGCAGAAACATTTTACAAAGCACTGCACTAAATAAACAAATAAAAGATATCTCAATGTTTTGCTCGTTCCCATTAAATAGTTATCTCCGACTGCAAAAAATTATTTTGTATTTTATTCCATTTGGTAACTTATTTTTATGTTATTCGATACACAAAGCTCTAGATTATTGATATACAGTAATCTGATTCAATATATAAATAGTAAGTAGTATTTCTCACTGTGTTATTGGATAAAAAGTAATATTGATTTTAACTACTTATTAGTTTTATTTTATAATTAAAGACATAGGAATAAAATCAAAATAGTACTTATTTACTTCATTCAGTTTAGATTACACCTTTCTTTGTTTTATTTTATGTAAGAGGTCATATAACTGGGTCATTGCTGAAACGAAGTTTTAGTAAAATTCTAGGTTTGTTAATAATACTGAAGATTGATTAAAAGGAAGGAAAAAAATGTTCTTAATATAGGAACAAAGGTTTCTTGCGTATTTCTACGAGCAGAGCATTTATCTCAAAAGAAGATTAATGCAAAATCACAAAAGAGTGTATTTCTTACAGACCTTTGAGATTACGACTTTCAGGTGATGGATGAATTGTTTTTGGGGTAATATCTTGTGCGGAAATCGTAATAAAAAACATTGTTTTATAAGAAACAAAAAAAATACTAACAAGGTTTAAAAGTTAAGGGCTTTTATTTCAAATACAAAAGAAAGTATGAACTAAGGTCAATGGTACCGTGTAGATAACGTATAATAAGGTAGAGGAAACTTTTATATTGTACTAATGTATAGTATTTTACAAAAGATTATAAAATAAAATATATAATCACGTTACTTAGACTGTTGAAAGTTTAAGACAACTTAACATATATCTCTATTTTAAAATGTTTAATGTATTAAAATAACTGTTAGCTTTTTTACTGCTTTCTGTCAGTTGTTGAACAAGGTCGCAACATTTAGAAAAATAACAAAATTCTAAAGTAGATATTATTGTAATATATTTTGTGTAACTAATATTATTGATGTTGGAGTCGACGAGAACTTTATTGTAAAACGACGAAGTCAGCACTAAAGAAAAATAATAATCTTAATTCGTACCTGGTCGAAAAGATATCTTTGACATGATAGAACGACCTTCGGGTCTGCTGACTGCTAGTATGAAATGAATTATATACGAGTATTTCATTACATATAGGTTTAAAAAAAATTATTTTGGTCATGATACATATTGCAATTTAATTTTAATAGATAAACAGTATTTTGTAATATTTTTTTTAGATTTTTCAAGATATTCAATTTTGTTTTGTTGCTTGAACTAAACGTAATATATAAATAATTAACTATGCTGCTCTTGCTTAAACATACATAAATTCTTAATTTAAAGATCCGCATGAAAATTTACACTCTCGTTTTAATAAAAAGGAATGAATTATGGAGCTACGGAAACAAACTAGAATGATGTTATTATTTAAACATTTACTAGTCTCACGGGATATTATTACATATCAGAGTTATAAACCAACATAAATCTATATACTAGTCCAGCACATAGACCACCTAACAGTGGTCCTATCCAGAAAACCCAGTGATGCGACCAAATATTCATCATCACAGCTGGTCCCAAAGATCTCACTGGGTTCAGTGATGCACTATAAAATAATGCAGAACTTTGACAGGCTACAATACTTATTCCTATAGCGAGAGCTCCAGAGCCCAAGCCGGTGACTGGTTTATTAGTATCAATCACGCTCAAAACTACGGAAACTAAAATAAAAGTCATAAGAAACTCCAAACCGAAGACTTGGTCTACTCTTAATCCATTGTACGGAATAGTTGCTCCAAGATTGCCTCTTGTAGAAATCTCGGAAATACCATACGCCACAAATGCGCCAAATAGACTGCCCAGAATTTGCGCTGATATATACAGAATTCCCTTGGCTATCTTCATGCGTCCACATGCCAGAACTCCGACAGTAACTGCTGGGTTTATATGTCCTCCAGATATATGACCTGTTACTTGGATAATAGATGCCACTAAAAATCCATTAGACAACGCTGTAACCACTACCAGGCTATGCCAAGATACACTGTTGTTAGAAGTCAATCCAGCTAGAAGTGTGATTGATAAGTACAAAAATGTTCCTAAGAATTCTGCAAATAATTGCTTCAACACCTTTACGTAATCTTTTAGTTCCTCTAGTCCGAGAAGCGACATTTTGTCTTATATTTTTTAAGTTCTTTTGAAATCTATGCAGCCACGGTTATGAAGATAATAAATATTAAATTAAAAGTTAAAACTCATATGTCGATTTATTTAATTTATACCGGTTTCAAAGTAATTAAAAACTTATTGGGTGCATCATAATGTTACGAGTATGTTCAGACCATGATATATGTTCAAAAGATTATTTAACATTAAAATATAACATTAAAACTAACTGTTATTTGTACTCTTAACATATCTTCCGAGGTGTGAGATAGTTTTTATTATTACGCAAAAACTCCGAGTATTGTCATTAGTTGTTCTAGATTGTTCCGTAAGTTCAGTCAAGCCAAATTACAAACTTTACCGTCTGACGGTGTTTAACGGACAAAGTTAAAAACGTGCTTATTACTTTTGAATATGAATTATTCTGGGCTTTGTATATTAATGACGTGAGTTGTAATATTTTTGCCTCATCCAATTCTTATTATCTGACTTATTTCTCTATATGTATGTACCTATATAGTTACATACATATACTGTTTCCTTTTGAAATTTTGTTCGATTTTAAGGTAATACAAGAAAGGGTAGTATTATTATAATTGACTCTGAAAAATATTGTTTAAAGGTCCATTAAGTTCTTTTTTGTAATTATTCTTAACACATTGAATTCTGGATACAAGCTTATTGTAAATAAAAACCTAATTAATATAAGAACATTATTTTTATATTTATGAAGTAAAATTTAAATCCATTCATCACAAATATTCACAATGTTGACCCTCATTAACGGTCATGTTTAGTTTTGCCTTATCAATCGTATGCTTGATGTATTTCTCAATTTCAATTCTTAGAAATAATTTAAAATTCTATAGTCTCACCGTAACACATCAGCAAGGTAAATAAAATGTCAGTATAATATTTAAACACCAATTTAAAATTGTTCACTTCTCTTGTAAAACCTTTGTTATTATTTTACGATAAAATGCATATAACAAAGCATTTCAACCGAGTTTGACGTCACTGTCAAAAAAACAAAATAATTGGTCAAAAATTGGTCCACATTCTTACATGGGGCGCCTCAATAAGGTAACTTCACTGTATCATTGCATCCTTACTAATATTATAAATGCGAAAGTAACTCTGTCTGTCTGTCTGTCCGTATGTCTGTCTGTCTGTTACGCTTTCACGCCTAAACCACTGAACTGATTTTAATGAAATTTGGTACAGAGATAGAGTTGACCTCGAGAAAGAACATAGGATAGTTTTTATCCCAGACTTTTGAAAGGTTCTCTTGGAAACGCGATATAACCGAACTCCACACGGGCAAAGCTGCGGGCGGAAAGCTATATATATATACATATATATATATATATATATATATATATATTATAAACATCCAACGTATCAATATTGCTTCTATAAATTTTAATATTTCTTACTATAACTTCAGTTATTAATTCAAGGATTCTTCACATATTCAATGTAATTAAATATAGAAATAAATTTAATTTCACAATATAAAGCGCCATCTGTATTAGAGATACTTTCTAACTGTTAAATGTCAAAGGACCAATGATTAATCAACTAATATCCAAAATTCAGTTTTTTCTTTATAAATAGTCATTGAAATTGCAATATTTTTTTAAAATTAAATATATTTGTCATACTCATTATTGGGTTATTATATCAAATATTTAGTTTAAATTAAATGTTTGATTGCAAAGCGCCATCTTTATTAACGATTTCTAGTTATAATTGATAAACAACCAATAGCAAAAACGGACAAGGGCGTAATTTTTATTAATAATTGAATTCGTTTGTTAGGAGGGTCGCTCAGTGGATTAATCAGACCTTTTTCGTTTTGGGCCACTGGACTGTGAGGATCATTCAATAAAGCTGAGTAGTTTAATTCAATTATCTTATTTATGGTTTAAAATAAAAATCAAGATATTAGTATGTACTCCATACAGCACACTTATTAAAGTATAGGTATATACATTACGAGAAGCTCTTTCATATGTTAGAGTTCTTATGTTGTGGTGTTGGTTCTAAAAAAAGCAGTTATTGTTAAATATAATAGAAATACTAATTACATTATGGAACATTTATTTCATTATTTAGAAAGAATATCTAATAATAATAAATAAATAGTTATTTATTATTATTTAAATCGGTTTATAAATATAATAAATCAACAAAATAGATTAAAAGTAAAGGAATTTAGTTATATTTTAATTCAGGTTAAAATTATGTTTAGACAGAAAACAATTCATGACAAGGCAATGAAGCCGAGGATTCCAGCACTCCTTCATAGCTTTACAATAATCCATTATTCGCTAAGTAAGTATATAAATTTACATTAATCTGGTAAACAATCGGAGCTGTTACAGCTACGAATACGAAAAAATATTGTGACCGAAAATTAGGAATATAGCTATATTACAATGACAATTTCAAAGTTTTAACTTCTTCAACAATAATAAGAAGGAAATGACTATAAAAAAATTAATAAAATAAAAAAAAACCATAAGATTCACTTGTTTCAATTAATTTCAGAATAGTCGAACTAACCTACATATATACATACTTTAGTGATTATCAAGAAGTTGATAAAAAAATGTGAAATTAAAAGTATAAAATATTTTTTATGAAGTTGTTCAGAAATCTGGGTAAACAGTAATTTAGTTGTAGCAATATTTTTTATTTTCCCGTTGTTTGTTTAGATAAAGAGGCTATTTTTTTTTCCAAAACGTGAACATGCAACGTACAGATGTTCATGTGAAAAGCAATCTACATTAAATCCAAACCACAAGTTCAACTTGAGCATTGTTAATTGTTATTGAGAAAGCCAATCTAATTGGGAATTGTAATCTTTTAATTTGAAATGGTGTATGGCTCGGGATCATGGGAAGTCGAAGAATAGAGGACATAGTCACCTTTGAAAGGCCCCGTTAAAATCGTCGCTTACACTATTTCGTTCATTCATTTTGTAACTGCGAGTCGTTGAGTTTTGGCTGGCTAATGGCGCACTTAGAGGTATGTTAGTGTAGTGAAAATTGATACAAACAATACTTGAAGCGTGTTGTACATCGTGTAAAAATTTCATCCGAATCGGTGCTATAATTTTAGCTTTTAAAACATACCCAAATCAACCTAACATTTATATAGATATACATATCTGTGTGTAGATAAATCACATAGGCATTTTCATAGAGGACTTTTACCTTTACAAACCTTCAAAGAACTAATAACTAGTAAATGCGCAGTTTATAGTAAACGAAGATTGACTTAATGCTATTTATTTTATATAGATGACAAATTTGGATGTTGTACGTTCAATTCTTCGTGACGCACTGGCGCGGACGCTTTCTTGACCGAGTTCCCAGTCCTCGCGTCGTTGCTCATAGTTTTTACCAGGCGTTTATTTTCTTAATAATGGGCTCCAACAACTAGTGTTAATTTAAATTGTAATATAGATTATATTACAATTATTTATTCTGTAGAGTTATAGCTGTTCTGTAAGATTTATCATTTCTAAGAAAAGACATTTGAAAAATAGCTGAATCTGTATTTAAATCATTATTTTTCTTGATACGCAATTAACGAGTTGTTTCCTAAGAACCTACAATCATAGCATTAATTTTGATACAGGGTATATATTGACATCTTTAACTTAAGTAAAATTCAATAAATCCTGTTGTTTGCAAAAAAATAGATTTGGTTTTAATAAAAGTGATTCTCGAGTCATTTGCTTAAATTCGCAGTAACACTATCAAACAAAAACTGGTGAAGTTTTGTATTAAAGTTTAATATACCCTTATAGTTTGGAAGGGGAAGAGCATTTTTTAATATAAGGTATACCACACACAACTTCTTTGTTGGCAGATTATAATGTATGAGGTTTTACCGTGATGAAGAAAATTGCAATATATTTTTAAATTTTAGTTTTTGCAATATATTTTAAAGTATTAAAGTTGTTTACTTACATGTAAGAAATATGAAAACTTTCTATATACTAATACTGTTTTAATAATAACGAATTTTGTTTAAATATACATATTATATACCAGTATATCAGTAATGATGGAGTATATAAGAAAATGTTGTATTTAAATCATGAGTTTACTGGTTCCACAATAGTATTGGTATAAGGTTATTTAATATTCAAAAGAACGAGATCTTTGGAAGTACAAAATTAATAATATTTTGTAAATTTATCTATTTAATTAAATAAAATTGTAATTTAAAATGAATTAACAAGTTTAAAATTTAGTACTAAAACCGAACTATTTAAGCATTATATATAATTTATTTGTTTCTTTAATCATGTACTTATGTAAAAATACTTTAGTACAGTTTAATGTACACAACATTATTTTACAACACGCTTCGATTCAGTCTGACCTAATTATTGATGAAGACTCATGCTTACTGAACAGTTACACGTCAGCTAGCTTTATAAAATCTTTAATTACTTAGAGTTGGTTGGTAGATTTTCCCATAAGACCTAACGTTACTGAAGCGGAAGCCTTAAGAAATCACATGATTAATTCTGAGGCTACTGAAATAAAAATAAATGTCAGCAGGGATTGAATCATAAAAAATCTTTTAAGCCTTGAATAGACCATGGCTTTTAACTAACTTACATATTTCTAACTATTGTAGTGTAATAAATACTAAACAGCAATAATTTATAAGTAATTTTGACATCGATATTTTTAGTAATTTTTTTTAATAATACACCAACGGTAGGTATAGCTATTAAAACGTATTATTCTCTCTAATAAAATAATGAAAGGATTGTTAAGCAACAAGTACAAAATTTTACCAAATACAGTTTTGGGAGGTTTCAAATGTAACATATATTTTATTAAGAGTAAAGTTTCACAAGATACCCCAAGGTACGCACGATTGTACCCCCTTTTGTTACTTGATATTTGTTCTTGTTGAAGAAACACGAATCCCAAAGATATCAGTACTAATAGACCTATTGTTTGTATGAAAATAGATTTTAATAATTTTTTCTAGGTTTCAGAGCTTGCTAGAAATCAAACAGTATTTACACTTTTGTAATTTGTTACAAATGAAGTCATTACAATAGAAACTCTTTTCACAATTAAAATAATTTATGAGTCATAATGACATCACTCCAATAAATTTCAATCGACGAATTGAAATTCATAACCATGATAAGAACGATTAAAAATCTTCTCAAGAATTTAAATATTGCCAAAAATCAAGTTCGTCATTCTTCGGGTGAAACAAACCTTTTTATTAATGGCAAACCTATTACAGTACCCAGTTATTTTACGATACTGCAGGCATTACGTCATGAAAATGTTACCATACCTACATTTTGCTACCACGACCGACTCTCCATAGCAGGTAATTGTAGAATGTGCCTTGTGGAGATTGAAGGCATGTGGAAGCCACAAATCGCCTGTGCCATGCCAGTGGCTAAGAATATGAAAGTAAGAACGAACTCTGAAGTAGCTTACAAGGCACAAGAGGGTGTTCTAGAATTTCTGTTAACCGATCATCCTCTAGATTGTCCTATTTGTGATCAAGGAGGCGAATGCGATCTTCAAGATCTGTCTATGAAGTTCGGAAATGACAGGACTCGATTCACTGATATACATTTTGAAGGAAAAAGAGCTGTAGAAAACAAAAACCTCGGGCCATTGATACGTACGGAGATGACTAGATGTATTCATTGTACAAGATGTATCAGATTCGCATCTCAGGTTTGTGGATTGGATGTTTTGGGTACAGCAGGTCGTGGTGGTGAAATGCTCGTAGGAACATATGTTGACAAAATGTTTTTATCGGAGCTATCTGGTAATATTATCGATTTATGTCCCGTCGGCGCTCTAACTAATAAACCTTACATGTTCAAAGCTCGTCCGTGGGAAATTAATAGAGCTAATTCCATAGATGTTACAGATGCTACAGGAACAAACATAAGCGTGAATTATAGATTCGATAGAGTTTTAAGAGTTTTACCTAGAGAAAATGAAGAAGTGAATCAAGAATGGTTGTCTGATAAGGGGCGTTGGTCTATAGACTCTTTAGATATACAAAGGCTAGTAACCCCCATGTACAAATGTAACGATTGCTTGATTCCCACAGAATGGGATAAGGTATTGAAAATGGTGTCAAAACTTTTAAAATGTAATAAGGCTTTTGATATTATGGCCATAGCTGGTCCTTATTGTAATGCAGAAACATTAGTAGCTACAAAAGATTTACTTAATGTACTTGGCTCGGAGCACACCTACGTAGAAAGAAATCTAGATTATTCTGAAACAGTAGTTGATATAAGAGCTTCATATTCTTTAAATATATGCATGAAAAACGTTGCATTATCTGATAAAATTTTGTTAGTTGGCACAAATCCGCGATTCGAAGCCCCTATATTAAATGCTCGAATAAGGCAAGCGTATATGTTTAATGAATGCGACATTTACGTTATTGGACCAAAATGTGAATACAACTATCACGTTGAATACGTTGGAGAAAGTGTGAAAGACTTAGCAAATGCTAAAAACTACTTAGAAAAAGCAAAATCTCCTCTAATTTTTGTTGGTATTGACCAGTTAGATAATCCAGATGCTGTTACTTTGATGAGAGAGCTCATAAAGATATCTAATTCCTTAAAGAAGTCGAGCGATTGGAAAGTCTTGAATATATTGACAAAGGAAGCTAGCTTCGCTGGAGCTCTGGAGGCGGGATGGAAACCTGGAGGTATAAAGGCAATACAATCTTTGAAACCGCGCGTCATTTTATCTTTAGGTGCTGATGAAGTTTTCAGAAAATGGACTCCTCCGAAGGAATGTTCTGTTATTTACATTGGATTTCAAGGAGATAGCGGCGCAAAATGGGCATCAATAATTCTACCAGGAAGCGCCTACACCGAAGCTGGTGGAACTTTTCTGAACATGGAATGTCGTTCTCAATTCGCCCAGCCGGCTGTGAGTCCACCTGGAAAAGCCCGTTTTGACTGGAAAATTATTCGAGCAATAGCTGAATACTGCAAAATATGCCTATTTTATACAGATGAAGATTCAATTTGTAGGCGATTAGCACAAATAAGTCCAAACTTCGTCAGTTGCGGGACTTGTCAAAAACGACTTTTTGAAGATCTAATTCCCCAATTGCTGGCATCTGATAGCTCTGACTGCGGCGGGCAACCTTTTGATGTGTGTATGAAAAAATTGAAAGAATATTATTGTTCCGACATATATACTAGCAACTCGCCAACAATGGTGAAAGCTCAAAAGGCTGTCATGAAAATGGAAAAATCTCCCTACTGTCCTGTTTAAGTCGCATAAAATAAAAACCTTCAACTACAAGAAAAACCGAGAGGAATTTAGGAATTAGCGCATTTCTATCACTCTTGTGAAGTTTGATGCAGCAGTTGAATACGTAAAACATCGCAAAACCTAAACTGCAAATACTAGTTTAGTTATTCATAATTTAATAAAGATAACTGCAGTCAGGCAAAGTAATAACTTAGAACAATTACTAGTATAATAATTTATTTGCACTGAAACTATCAATTGTGAACATCTTTTTTGTTAGAACAAGTTTTTGTTTCATTTATTTATTTATTTGTTCTAATGTTTGAGGTTTAATAAATGTTTAAAAATCAAGCTGTTCCTTTTAACTAGAACTCGTAAATATTAAACACTGATGAATAAACTGTGAAACATTCTTCACGATTTTCGTAATAAAAAGAGCTACTTATACCATTTTAAAAAATTTAAAAATAATAATATAGAAATAGACTAAAACTCAATTGTAGGAAAAAGTAATAATCTTTAAGATACTCGAAACATAAAATATTAGACTGTTTCCTTCCATTATCATAAAACTTGATAATGAATTTATAAAAACTTAATAAACTTGAAAACTTCATAGAAATCTATGAATCATATCATCATAAAACGTATTTCTAAAATAAAATTTAAAATAGCCTGAAGAATTAATAATATTTCTTCATGGCTGATAATCAAATGCCTTCCTATAAATATGGGAAGCAATAATTTAATAATTCTCGCAAAAGCTATTTTTATCCAGATCGATACGCTCGGAACGCGGAAAAGGTTCTTTATCGTATTACGGAAAAATTTAACTTAATATTTTAAAATAAAATGTTATAATCTTCCATCATTTAAGATTATGAATATAATTAAATCGTATTACATTTTTTAAAATGTAGCCATTACTATGGACATACATAAAATCAAATAAAAATGACTTTTTAAATAACAATACGTAGACAAATATATAAATTATTTCTAAAGCTGTCAGCAACAACAAAGATTTCAATTACCAACGACCGCATTACGCAACTTTATTCTTTTAATCCAGCGCAATAAAATCTTAATATCTATCAATAAAAATAACGAAAAAATAATCCAATGTATAAATCAGGCTTATTCCTAATATCACGTGATTTACAGCTTATAAACATTAACCATTTATTTATGGATCTTTTATTGCAAACCGTAATAACTTGTCCAAATATAAATAAATGGATATTTTTATAGGTCTTTTATTACTTTTTACATCATAAGTCATCATGTTTATTTTAGATTTATTGAGTCCTTTGAATCTCTCCCTGACCTTACGATATAAAACTTTTATACCCTTGACTACGAACAAATACTTTACGAAGGTTTTGGACATAATTTACGAAATTTGTGGTCTCAAATAAACGAAAATAATTTATAAATTAATAAATAAGTATAACAGAAAAAATATATACAAATAATATAATGTACAAATTTATTATATACAGTTTAAACTGAAATTTTAGATAATAACTCCAAAATTAATGCTAGTCTTTTCTAGAAACATTTTCAGACAAAACCCTGAATATATCTTGAACAATTTAAGCATCGTACGTCTCCTAAAAATCTAAGACATAAACTTATCGTTAGAGGTCTAATGCTTTCTACGGCACGCCTACACATTGTCTGCAGACAATATTATTATGTCAAGATTCAAGAAGTCGTTGCTTTTTGACACCGACTCAGCATTCTGGAACACCTTGTTTGTGGCATTTATTATATCTATGTATTTTGATGTTTTATTTGTCTCTATATGTATTTACATCATATCGAAATATAAAAAACTAATAAGAGCTCAAATATACATGTTAAATGTATAAATCCTCGCGATAATAAACATTACTACATATAAGCTTAGGTATAGTTAGTTGTCGGCCATGACGCCGGGTCGAACGAGCGAAGTGCGTTCTTGTTTTCACAGCCCTAGTCACGTGAAACTATTGTTAGTTGTTGGTAAAGCCAACCAAAATTTAATTAATACGATTATAACAGCTAATCTTACTTTATTAGGTGATATAAGGGTAATATTTCTGTTAAATAAACATTTATCGAGCAATAAAAGAACAAACGTTCTTGACTGTCATCAATATTCAGCCATTTAAAACCTAGTTCCTATCTACATGTTTTTAAATTGTTTTTTTATCGTGTTTCCTGTATCGTATATGTAGAGAATATTTTTTTATACTTTAAAGCAAAAGGAAATAAAAGTCAATGAAATATCATTCTAACGAAAACATCAAATTATTTTTTTTTATTTTAACGTAACTAGATACTTACCTAATTTAAATTTCTATGTTCACATGTTCGAGGTTGAAATTTTAATACCCATCAATAAATTACATTTAGCCTTATTTATAGTTTGTATAAATGATATATTATGTAGATATAAAAAAACTAAAAAATAATAATTATTAAAGTGTATAATAATTGAGCTTTATGGTGGTTTAAATTCGCTTGTAGCTATCATCAAAATTGTGTAAAAGCTGTAGTTTTATCAATCATTTCGACAATTAAAATCCGTTTTTTTATCAAAATTTAATTTTTCTCTTAATTATTCCATAGAAAAGTAGTTTGCATTTATTATTGTATATAATTAGGGTAAATAATTATAGCCGAGTTGTCTACATTATTTACGGTGACATCTTTGTTACATAATTACCGTTATCCAGTGGCGTAATCTCTTGACACTGTGTAGTTAATTACTTTAACCTTATTTTATATCCCCTGATATGTGGCCCATCTTATGAGTTAATTTCAACGCCAACAGAGAGATGGTGCTTTAAAGAATATATACATACATTCATTCAGTTATCGTTCACTGAAAGCTGACTGTAAGGGATAAGAGACCTGTTCTGAAAATTCTCATTCAAATATATCGACGAATGACTTCTGACGTCAATTGTGACGTCTTTCCTAAGTTACATTACATTGGTTAAGTTTGTCTCAGTTTTTCAGTGTTTTCATTTTAATTTTATTTAATAAGACAATGAGCTTGCATTAGTTTTTATGTTAAGTTTCAGCTTTAACTCGTGGTTAATTAAATATTCTGTATAAACTATCGTGGTGATGGACTCGACCTTGTGTGATTATAATGAGGGTGAAATACCTATATGGCAAGAGCCGCGATGCGAGCCGCTGGGTGCCCCAAAAGAAAACCTCTGTGATGAAGAGTCCCCGGAACAGATCCCTGGTGATAGAATACACGCATTGGAAGAAGAGCAAGAAATACTATCATCCTCCGTCTTTTCTTTAACTTCTCATCTTGCTCAAGTTGAATTTAGATTACGACAAATCTTAAAGGCTCCCCCGGAAGAGAAAGATGCTATGTTACAAGCATTGGAAGAATTTACTTCTCGTGGGGTTGATTCTCGAGCTGCTCCTCAAGGTAGTGCAGGGGAACCAGCGTGTAACGAGTGTGTGGAATTGGAACGGAAAATAAGGAATCAAAGAGTAAAACAAGCGCACTTTATCGAAAGGCTAAAAAATCAATTAAAAGAATTGGAAAGATACACTTCTGGGACCTCAAATTCGATTGATGATACTAAACAAAGATCATTAATAGAACATTTGAGAAATGAAATTGACCATAGCTTGGAGGAAGGATGCCATCACCCGCTCACAACAGAAGAATTGAGACATCAGATAGACTGTGCCGTTCGTCAATATACAGACAGACAGCTTTCCAAAGAAGAAATTATTACTAAACTACAAACACATATTGACGATATGCAGAAATTTATAAAGTTGATGAAAAATGGTGATTTAAACAGCAATACGAAATCGAGAACAGCAGAGCCTAAAAAAGTTGGTAAATCAGAAACATTTGAGAAGAATTTCAACCGCAACAGTGTAAATAATGAACTAAAAACAGAAACAATAAATCTTATGAGAAAAGCTTCCACTTTAATACAAATATTCACGGTGTCACAGTTTGGTTGTTCACCGAGTAGCAGTAAGAGATATGATAGATCATCAACAATTGTCACACACTGGGGTAATTTAAGAGCAAAATTAGAAATGTCTATAGATGCAGTACTTCATATAGTCTCAAGAGAGAGGGCTTCACACACTTATATTGATAATTATGACAGTGAATCCGAGGAAGGCGGCCTAGTGATCAATGATGTACCTCTCACAACGGCTGTAAGAAGACATCTTGCTATTAACCTTAGAGATTTACTGCAACATGGTTTAGTACACCCCGAATCTAAATCCCTAGTACCTATAATTGGTTGTTTCCCTGTCCGTAGATCCTCAACATCAAGATGTGTACATATATGGGAATTAATTTTACGCTATTATGATTTAAACGATGGTGATAAATTTAATTCGACACCGGCAAGGAAACTCAGCCAAAGTTTCAACCTAGATATTGTTGGAAGCACATCCATTACTAATAAGCAGAGTCTTTTAAGTGCGATCGGTAGTATTTTAGCATCACATACCCCATATAAAAGAAGCTATGATGCTCATTTCAAAGCCTTTGTATGTGCAGCTCTTAATGTACACAAACTTGTTATATGGTTGAATATTATGTTGAAATGCAGATTGTTAATAGATTCATACTACCTGTCCACTAGTTATGTTGTCAATACAGGTTTTCAAGACACATTGCAAAGTCTAGATCGTCTTACACCCTATAATTTTGATTTGCCAGTTGATCTTGCCGTCAAACAGTTTCAGAATATCAAAGATGTGTTTATGTAACATAAGATTTAATCATTCCTTTCCAGATATTAACCCAGACAGTATTGTGACTTGTCCATATAATTAGGCTGTAATGAAATTTCTAAATCATATTTTATAATTTATATAAATTATAAATCGCCTGCTTCTATTATAGGAATCTTTGTCTTATATAGTATAGCTTTTAGTTATTTTGCTTAATTCCTTTAAACTTAGCAAAATATTTTAATTATATAGTATTCAATATATCTAACTATTATAAGTTTATATAAAATTTATAATATTCTAGCTTGATAATGTATACAAAATGACATTCCCTTTTTATAACTTCTAGATCTCGTAAATAAAGATCTAATTTATAAACTCATAACTAAAGTTTTGAGTTCTAAATATTATCAAAATAACCAAAGAAATTTATAGTTTATATTTATAATCCTAGTCAAAAAAATATTTAAACTTATATAATTGTATATAATAGAATTTAGAAGCTTGCTTTAATAACAAAATGTAAATAGTCAATAAAACAAAGATTGTACTAAAATTTATTTATTTGTAACATCAACAGTCACTGAAACATTCCAGAACTAATTAGTGTTATGAATAAACATAATAAATGAGCATAGTTAAATAAAAAATAGTTTTTATTTTCACAATTAAACATTTCACCTTCATCGTTTTGATTTTTTATTATTTCTGAATGTTTTCTATACAATTGTAACAATACAAACAGACACATACATTCCATCTGAACACTGTATTGGACTTTTGATGATGGCAATAAATTATACATATAAAATGTTACCAGACAATTTGTTTACAATAAATAATACATCAAAATGTTTGACAAACATTTAGAACAAAGTTTTATATAATACATGTGATATATAATAAATATTTTCTACTTGGGTCCAAGCATGTCCTCGGGCTTGACCCATTGGTCAAACTGTTCGGCCGTGAGGATTCCTAGTTTGATAGCCGTATCCTTCAAGGTTCCACCTTCCTTGTGCGCTGTCTTAGCAATCAATGCAGCCTGGGAAACAAATCATTTGTATTATTTATTTAATATAAATATATAAAGCAACACAAACTAGGCTGTAGTTGAATTAAATGAGTTTAGTAAGTGAACATTTTTTTTCTAGATGACACATGAAACATTAATGAGTGCTTATTTATATGAGATCTTTAAATTATGTACTAAAATATTTGTAATAGACTTGAATAGGAATTGTTCTGCCTACAAACATAGAAACTAATTTGAAGTCTTCTAACATGTATTTAATTTATTGCATTTATCAATAACCTTTTGGGAATGCATTGTTACATCAATGTCTTATTAATGATGAACAAACTGGTATTGTTCTATATGCATTTTTGATAAGATGAATGCATTGTTATTAAACATTTAATATGCCATACCTTATCATATCCAATATGTGGGTTGAGGGCAGTCACCAACATGAGTGATTCCTTCATGATCTTATTGATCTGTGCGATGTTAGCCTGAATACCCACAGCGCAATTCTTGTTGAACGCCTGGCAGCCGTCGCCTGGAAACAAACATTGTATAGATACAAACATACATACATGTAGACTTTCATTGACTATGGGCCATAAATAGTGTTGTTATATTGAAATTACAGAAAGGAATTCATCTTAGTAAATTATTGATTTGTAAATAGTTTACAAAAACATTGTGCAATAATATACCTAGGTTGAGTCTTAGAAGACGGTTGTACTATAAAGTTATTGATGACAAAAAAAGCTTTTCTAAATGACAATTTACATATTTTAGGTTTGAGATACAAAATTACTATTCACGTCTTTAGTGAATAGAAACTTTTAGACTGGATAACACTACTTTACGATTAACAAACCTTAGAATCCACCGTGGTTAGTCTTACTTTCTATAAAAATCATAAATAAAATGTATTTGAGAAAAATAACGCTTTTTGGGGCATAAAGAGAAAGCAGACAGAGAATGCGAAGCACTCGAATTCATGAGGACAATCAATTACGACTTGTAAGTAAAGTTAATAAAGTTTGTCTTACAGATACACTAAAAGTTCGTTAAAAATCAAAATCTAACCCTTTTCTCTTTTCATTCGAACATAACGAAGTTTTACTTCTTCAATTCAAAGCTACTCCTTCTAGCACAAATAATTTTTTTTTCATAGTATTACTATATTGTTTATACATACCAATAAGTCTAATGGATCTCAGTACATTGGCTACCATCATTGTTTTGAACACGTTCAGTTCAAAGTGTCCATTGCTGCCACCGATGGTACAGGCCACGTGGTTACCCATCACCTGAGCGGCCAACATTGTAAGCGCTTCACATTGAGTCGGGTTTACTTTGCCTGGAATCAATATTAATATATAAGTCTAGTTTGTGTTTTTTTGTCTATGTTGTGAATATAAATGAGGATAGAGATATTGCATAACATTTCATACAATTTTAAAGTGGATTTTAATATATTTTTGTTAGTAATTATTAAAAACAGGAAATCATAACATATTTTTGGAAAAAGTTATTTATAAAATCTATTTATTCCCACAAGTATAATATAATCGCAATCATACTTTGGTATTTTCTAATTGTTACATAATACTGCTTTCATATTCATAAAAATTGCAATTCTTTTAATTATCATAACATTGTTAAATCTTTTGGCAAAACTTTATATGTTACACGGGATAATATACGTACGTATACGTGTTTTTCCAATAGAACAAATAAAAACAATATAGATATTTGAACATCTTTAGCTTGAGAGTTTCATCACGATAGAGGAGCGTTAATTAATAATAAGATTTAATTACTACACTTGTCTTTGTATTTAACGTTTAAGAAAGACCATTTCCATACGAAAAATATTTTTTTTCAGCAAGTTATATGGCAAGCTTAAAAAACACAACTTTCCTATTTATTTTTTCATACTATTATATATTATTAATATATAAATTCAGTCTCTCGTTATATAACCTGCAATAGTTTCGTGATATGTGACTGAAGAGCTAAATAACAAGTCCCTTGAAGGAACGCCAAGTCTTAACCTTGAGATACATCAATCAGCCTAACATTTCCTTAGGAAACTTAACTATATTAGGTATATATCCGTTAGACTTAAGCTGAGCTTTGCTTTGGTGTGAGTGAAAGCAAAGGTATAGTTAGACTAAAAAAAAATAGAATTTAATTCTATTACATTTTTAATAGATACATAACATAAGTGCAAAATAAAATAAGCAAAACTTGTAAAAGGCCAGGTGGAAATATTAAAAAAATATATATTAAGTACCTAATAAAATTTTTGAAAAACTACACAATTTCTTCTTCAATGGAAAGTGCGTTTTCAATATTTGACGTTGCTACGATTACAAAGGGTGAAGTGTATAAAGTGCGGGGCGGAGTAAAAGCAGAATAAACCGGATCAAAACTAGAAACGAACGTGGCCTTCAAAAATTTGACATCACACCTACACTATCCGTGTGCACTCACACAAATGCAAAGCTCAGCTTAAACCAAACGTACTATACAATATCATGTTATTTTATTTGAATATATTAAGTCTATATTCTTATAGATTTAACTGTACTTTACCTGGCATGATTGATGATCCTGGTTCGTTCTCAGGCAGCATGAGCTCAGCGAGGCCGCAGCGCGGGCCCGAGGCCAGCATACGGATGTCGTTGGCGATCTTCATGAGGGATACTGCTATGGTGTTCAAGGCCCCGTGGACCTCGACCATGGCGTCGTGGGCCGCCAGGGCCTCGAACTTATTGGGGGCGGTCTCGAAAGGAATGCCTGGCGAACAAACAATATTTATTAAACACAATATATTAGGAATTTATGATGATGTATGTATGAGGGTGTCTAAATGGATTCATTGTGTAGTAATGTATTTTAAACTCAAATATTGTTTCGAATAAGAGAGTAACACCATGGTTTCATATTTACTTTAGTGTTTTATAGTGTTTGTTTTAAAACAGTCACATTGTTTGCCTTTTAATAATCATAATTCGTGAAACTTCAGATAATTTTTTACATTATAATTACGGAAAACGTTTGAAATTATCAAATATGTAAGTGGAAAATCCATTCCAGTCAGGTAGATGATAGCCACTGTTGATTTAATGATAAAAATATGACTTCTTTACTTTGTTATAAATAAAAACACAAAGCAATTTTCACATCTATCATATGACATATACATTGTATTCAAATCTCTCGTTTTTTTTAACAATGTTCCTATATATATGCTTTGTCTTTTGAATGGTAAACAAGCAATGTTGCTTGGATTGTTATCATTAAATCAACAGTGGGTATATATGTATTTATATAAATATATAAAGTAGTAAATGCTACCAACCAGTAAGTGTAGCGATTTCCTTAGCGCATTTCTCAGCGAATCCCTTCCTAGTATTAAGTCCGGTACCGACGGCAGTTCCTCCCAGCGCCAAGTAGTGTAGTCGAGGCAGTGTGGTGCATACTCTCTCTATGCCGTACGTCAGCTGGGTCGCGTAACCGCTGAACTCCTGACCGAGAGTTAAAGGCACGGCGTCCATCAAGTGGGTTCTGGAATATGTGATATAGTTAATTATATACATGATTTTATACTATAATATTTATTACCATTATTATTTATTATATTAATATTTATTACAAGAATATCTGTTATATAGATATGATTTCCATCTGTACATAGGACTGGCAATCTATCCAACACAGACAATATTATTCAATAATTACAATGATTTCATAACTTAAAAACTACAAGGACTTAATAAACTACATGAACACAGAATTGAATATCAAACTTTATCTTCTTCTTCTCCCTAGCAATTTCCCAGCTTTAGCCAGGGTCTGCCTTACATGGTGTGAATAGTTTTAGCTAATTGTTTTTACGACCGGCCGCCTGCCTGACATCAACCCTCTTTGGGAATGCATTAATCAAAACGCTTGCTCAAGACGGGTTGGTGATTTAAAGCTTAAAATTGTGAAATTATAAGTCTAGGTTTCCTCACGATGTTTTCCTTCACCGTCTGTCAGTGGTGTCTAATTAAGTAGTAAGTTTTTATATATCAAGGTTTATATATGAGAATATTGTAATTTTTTTGCTTTATATGTTTTGTATTGGTAAACATGTATGATACTTTTTTATTAATTCAAAAAGTTATTGAAGGATTCATATATAACATCAGCGATTTTTCTGTATATGTATAAATTATATTTCGTTGGATGGACTAACAACTGCCTATAAATTTCTATATTATCTTAAAAAAAAGATGAAAATAATATTAACTATGAATATACATAAAATAGATGAAATAATCCTTATCACCATCATTATCATCATCATCAGCCTATCAGAGCCCACTGTTGAGGTAAGAACTATTTCAGATGGACAAGGTTTGAACACCACACTTGATCAATTGCTCAATAAGGGTTGGTGATTTCAAACTTATAATTTCAAATTATAAGTCTAGGTTTACTCACAATATTTTCGTTCACCGTCTGTCAGTGGTGTCTGAATACTCTTATACTCTGAATACTCTTATTAGAAATCACAAATGACTCGGAAATATCACATTGTTACTTGCTAGGTTTCAAACCCACGCCTTTATGCACGGGAGGCGGACCTTTAACCTCTAGGCCACCACGACATTTAATAATTTTAAGAGGATATTAATTTTATGTAAATAAGAGCCTTTTCACCTGGCCAATAATCTAGTATTGTAAACGGCGTGACACTTGACTAGACTGCACATAAGCAGAATAAGATTTGTAGGTTTCATATAATGTGTGAAAACTGTGCTTGGATGGGATATTTGTTGCCTAGTACACTTTTGACCACTTAAATTGGACACATTATTTTAAATACTGTTACTAGTTTTTATTACGGATGCCAGGCATCAAGTGTCCACTTTTTGATGCACCAAGTGTACATGCCTTGCCGAGATAGTAGTAGCAGCAGTCTAGTATAGGTATAATCATTATTATTGTCACAATGCGGCTCTCTCTACGGCATACGCGAATGTTACCTCGTCAACACCTCAACTCGTCAACCTCGTAAAAAAAAAAGGTATAATCATTATTATTTCCCATACCTGCCGATCTTGATGATCTTATCAAACTCCTTGGACTTCTTTTCGAGGGTGTCTCTCAGCGCTACTAGGCCAGGCATCAGTCTATCTCTTAGTTCCATAGCCACAGCAATGTGCATGGCCGCTGGGTAAGTATCATTGGAGCTCTGCGACTTGTTCACGTGGTCGTTTGGATGAACCGGACTCTTAGAACCCAGCTGACCACCAAGGATTTGAATGGCTCGGTTGGATATCACCTGGAAAGTTAATAGTATAATATTATATGAAGAGAATATATAGCATGGAATATACATAGTAACCATATATCCGATAGAAACAATGTACTTAAATAATAGTTTGGAAATTAAATATTATATGGAGTAAATAGCATGGAATATAGTGGCTGATAGATAAACATGTACATACTTAAATAGTTTTGACTAATTAAATTTTGAACTACAATAAAAGTATATTGTGAAATATAAATCACTAATTCCATTGAAGTCTGTTTGACTTTCTAGTTTCTAATTTTATAATAATTTTGTCTTAAATTCCTGATTTTTTAAAGTATAAGTTATAAGTTTAATTTTTGCCTTACAACAACTGAGCATATTATATGTGGTGAATCTTGTATGAACTATTCTTGTCAACAATGGGCTAAAGTAACAATCTTATATAATTTATTAATCATTCTACGTTTTGATGGTATGTTTTATATTATACTAGAAGACCCGGCGAACTTCGTATCGCCCTATAATCAAGCAATATCTGTTACGTTTCTTTATTTATATTTTTGGAGTTTCCCTATAAAAGCCATAAATCTCCGTGTTTTGAAGTGCGACAGAATGATTGACATATTAGTTAGTTGTCAAATCTAATGTGAAAAAGAAACGTTTGAATCAACAACTGCTAATAAATCAAAAATTAATTAAATAAACATTGTCCAGCGGTCAAAAATGTGAATCTAAACCATTCCCAGATCCCCTTGAACACACAAAAAACTTCATCAAAATCGGTCCAGTCGTTTGAGAGAAGTTCAGTGACATACACCCTCACAGAAGAATTATATATATAAAGATATAGCATGGAATATATGAGCTCATAGAAACAACGTCACTTAAATAGTTTTGATCAATTAAGTTTTTGTAACGTGAAAAATACACAATAATACTTCTCCTATTTAGGGCTGTTTTATTTTCCAGTTTCTAATTTTCAAAGTAATTTTGTCTCAATTTCTTTGTTAATCTCAAATTTTTTGTCTGCATATTATGTACTATAGCTTGTATGAAATTAGCTAGCTGTTTATGGATTATCATATAGAATATTGTGATATTTGATGTGTGAGTGCTACCTCATTGGTGTTCATGTTGGACTGTGTGCCGGAGCCAGTCTGCCAGATGACGAGGGGGAAGTGGCCTTCTCGGTACAGCTTCCCGGATATGACGTCATCACACGCCTCGATGATCGCATCCGCTGGAAAATTCACAATCATTTATATAGAGTAAGAAAAGTATAACTTTTATTATAAGGGGACACGTGGTGTAAACAAAACAATATATTCTTCTTATTAAGTAGATTGCAACACTTGACCATTCTTTTAAATTTTTTAAAAATTCCTTCTCAATTTTTTTTTACCAATCTAGGCTAGTTAGTAAATATATTTCTGCATTACTGATCAATGATAATGTATTTTTTGCTAGTAGGTGAACATAATTTATTGATCTACATCCACAAAATATGTTTAGGTCATTGCAATTTTTAATATATATTTGATAGTATTACATAAACCATACAGAGACATAACAATTAAATTAGTTGCAACATTACACTGTGTGGTTTGAGAGAGAACATTTTTATGAAAAATTTAATATGACCCTCTTTAAATAAATCATTATAAGAACTGATTTGATTAATTATAATATAATATTATACATATATAATTCTTTTTTTTGTTTATTTTGTATTTAAGATCTTCTGTCTTGTATTCCATTTATGCCCACATATAAATATATAATATATAGAGATATATATTTAATGTTACTGACATGAATATGATTTAAACAGTTTTGTAATAAAAATCATTATAATAAAATAATTTTACATACATATATGTAATGTAAAAAACTATTCCTACTAAGGAGCTACATTAATAGTGATGATCAATAATTCCATATCATAAAAATTTACTTAGTACTTACCAATTTTCTTGTCCAAACCATATTCTATGTTGACTTTAGCAGCAGCCTTCTTCAGGATACCGAAGGCCACGATGACAGGGTACTGGAATGTAATCAAGAGTACCATCAGACATATGGAAAAACATAGTTTTTTTAAGTATAAAAAGTTAAGATTCGACTTAACATTGGAGTAAAAAGAAATTGTTATAATAATATAAAATAGTCGTTAATATAAGTTTTCGTGAGAAACTGTTAAAAAATATATACCTAAGTAACTTTTAAAGCATGTTCAAATAATTAATTAAAATATGAAACATGTGTATAAAATAACATTAGATAACTTCTGTATGAGATGAAAAAAATAATGTTTTTTTTTTAAATCATACGTTCATTGGCTTAAAAATAATTTAATACTACAGCAATTCATAGTGCAACTTAACACTGGTTTGAATGGTTAAATTAAATTTAGATTATATATTTTTTCATACATTAACATGACAAGATTTATTAGTGGAAAACTGCAAAACTATACGTACTTATTTTATGTATAGAAACACGTGATAATGGTACTCGTAATGTGATTGGAAAGGTTCCTACAGATAGTGAAAGTGTTCCATTATTCATTTCACTTTTTGTATGCGATTGTTATTTCGTTTTCTACATTGGTTTCAACTCAATGATAGTTTAAACAGATTTTATATACTGACATCTAAGATTTTCGCGAGTATTCATTTAAATGAAACTAATATTTTCGGATTTACTACTCGTTTTTATTTTTGACTATAAACTACATACTCCCGACGTTTCGGCTACTTTACAGCAACCGTCATCACGGGCAGACGACATCTAGATCGAAAAGTAGATCCGAAAATATTAGTTTCATTTAGACTTCACATACAACGAGAAATATATAAGAGATAAAAAAATAACGAAGAAATTATAAATCAATAAATATTAAATTTATTCCTATTTTCATACAAATTAAATTTAAAACCACGTCTTTTTTACACTTCTTGTAGAAAATAAATTGTAATTAATATTATAAACAATTACTTTTGAACACTTGTATGGGGAAATAATAATTTTAATATGGTAACAATGCTATTGTTGATTGTAATCGACTCTTAAACATCCTTGACGCGATTGTGTCTTCACACAACACATGTATCGTGTTCAAATAAATTATCATACGATTACGAGAAACGATGTCAATATATTAATTAGGGAAAATAGATTTTCTTAAATAACACATCTTTATACATAAACAAGTCGTGTTATATACACTTATAATTCAAGGACGGCTGTACAGATTTGACTGGACATTTATGGGGACGTTGATTGGATTCGTTCAACCACAAAAAAAGAAATCTAATAAAATCCAAAATCTATTTATTTACTGCCTATAAATCGAAAGAGTCTTCCTGGTCGACTATGCTTTTCTGATTATGAAACTAAAGCAGACAAAGTCGCGGGCGAAAGTCTCTTTATATATCAAAGAAAGTTATGCTATTTATTACTCAAGAACGACTATACGGGCTTGGATTTCAATTGGTGAAGAGATAGCGTAGAACAAGGGAAAGGACGTAGAAATGGAGTTCGCCCGTCAGCTACACTACATTTCTATTTCTGAAATCAACGCAGACGAAGTCGCGGACAAAAACTAGCGTGCAATATATAAGTATACCTATATATATTGCCAATCATGTGACCTGTATCCAAACTGGATGTGGATACAAGAACAGGTTATCAAGGACGTTGAGAAACAACATGTGAGATTGGAATTGAATTAGGCGTCTAGTTCATAATACTGTTTATATAGCACTGTACTTATGTCCTTATTGTACTTAATATGGAGATTAAGTGTTACCATATACGAATAATCTTTTTTAGTCTATAGAAATTAGGACACCTTAATATTTTAAGAATTAAGAATTATAATAAAAATAGTAAATTGCAAGTCAATGACTGAGATGACTTTGCGATTCTTAATAGAAAAATTATCTTATTGTAATCTAGACATCTTGAATCTTTATCTCAGCTTAATTTTTTTAAGTACCTACATTACAATATTTAAAGGGAGATTATTTTGTGCTTATTCAAAATGTTTGAAAAACCATAAAATTGTTGCACAAATGTTAAACCAAAATCGGAAGTCAAAATACTGTTAGCTTTTTTATTTGTTGTGCAATTTACAAATTAAAAATGAGTGCGTTTGGTTCTATACTAACTTATTTCTATATTAACTTACCGGCATTCTTTCCTCGATTCCACCGATGGGGAAGTTCATGACGGACCTGACCGTCTGGGCGCCATACAGCCTGTCATCAGGTACATCCAGCTCGCCGAAAGTATCACGCTCTTTACGCTAGCGACAAAATAATAAGTCAAGTTGGCATCAATCTTGTTTGAACCAAAGAAAGGCAAAGGTTTGAAGAAGAAAGTATGATCATAGAAATTATACTCATTTTGATTGCAAAAAAAAATGTGAACATTTGATAGAAAGAAAACACGCAATTATATCGCGTTGTTCTTTTAGTTAATACGGATTTTTTTAAATACAATTTATAACACATGATTCAATAGAAATCTGACTTGTTTCACGTGCGTATATTTTTCCTAAACACTATGATGTATGTTTCAAATTGTTCGACACTGTAAATCTCTGTCATTATCTAAACTAATTAAAGATTAAAAATTTTCAATCTCATACAATTAATCGTAAAAATATAGACCGACTGATGTAAAAAGCTATATAATATACACGGCTTAAGATGTGGGTAAGAGTTATTGTGAAAAAAAAAAACAACCAGACGCCGACAAACACGTGAAGATCTTATAAAACAGCAGCATTATTTCATTATCTTATAAATCGTTTGTTAGGTTAGATCGAATCACATTTACGCGTACAAATGGCTTCTATTATCGTCTTGTTTTAATAATGTTATCAAAGGCCATGGTTGCTTTGTCAATAGTCTCAAAAATTTCATCTTTACATCATCCAACTCAAGTTTCAAAACAAATCACTATTATTATGAAATATCGGTGACAGGTTATCCGATTTATAATTTTAAGAAACTATTGGTAGCATGCAGCACATACATCAAAGATTGATTGAGTACATTATGATTAGCACAATAAACTTACCATTTTAACAGTTTTACCGGACTGTTCCATACAAAAGGAACACGCCATTTTTAAAACGTATATAAAAATCTAAACGAAAAAATTTAAAGAGAATATTTTATTGTATAAAAATCACAAATGACATTTGACAGTTATAAAAAGTAGTTAAAGCGGCCAGTTGACAATGATTTGATTGTACGAACGAGTTGTAACGGCGTCCTACTCGCCGGCCAGGTTTCAAACTACTGAGAGAAAACAAATTCGTTTATATATATAGAATGAATAAAACCGCGTACCGGTTAACCGCTTGATAACAAGTTATCGATATGCAAATATATATTGTAAATATTATATATATAGAAATGACAATGTAATTTTTCATAGCAATTAATTTTTTTCAGCTTTATTTGCATTAACAAATTTAAGTAGAACTTCAGTGTTATCTTTTGTAATTATTAATTTGTCTTCAAATAAATCATATTATTGCTACAATCTTTGAATGAACACATTGACATTTTTTTATGAAATTGCTGCGACCAAAACGAACAAAACGGCGCGTAAAAGTAGTATAATTTGGACTAGATTTTTTTTATCGTTAGTGGTTTAACAAATAATAATAGACTGTTGAATATCATTATTTTTCTATTGAAATTGACCAATTTTATATCAAAACCCTATTTTTATCACACAATATTAGAGGTCACCCAGATGATGATTGGACAAAATACATAGTAAAAAATTATCAAAACCTTTTAATAAAAATAATAAGTTATAGGTTTCTGTAAAAGATAATTGTTTTTGCGTGTCATAGCTTAGCAGATATTTGAACAATGCTTTCTTGAATAACAACACTGATTTCTAATGAAAATCAATAAAACAAATATATGAATTTAATTTGTAAAAATAGATTTTGTTAAATATAAATTTTCGGTATATTATGTTTGATATACAAAACTTGTGTGGCCACTTAAAACTGTCTTACCTTCCATTTTAAGACTTAGTCACTAACACCTTACAGAACTTTGTTCAAAACAAAAAGATAGTGAAGAGATTAATATTAAATTATAATAAAATTAATAACAACAAAAATTCAAAAATGAAATATACTTAGCTTTTAGTTCCATCAACCATTTAAACCTAATTTAAGTTTATAGTATCAATTTCATATTTTAAAGAACCATTGAATCTAATAACATCTAAGACTTCAAGAGTAATAATTGAATTAAAACTATTATTTTTTGATTTCTATGCGATTTTAATTATTTTATACAACATTCTCCTTACATTTTTGTTACTTTGCAGCAGTTATCATGGACAGACAAGATCAGAATGATATTCTAATATATATTTAAATAATTAAAGTTGTGAAAACTAAAAATATTAGTTTTATTTCAACCATTGAATCTATTTTGCAACTCTTTTATATTTAAAAAATTTAATAATACCCTCATTAAGTTTATTATAATCATGAATTTATATTACCTTAAAGATAGAAGTTATTATATTACAATTTTCTATAAATCCAAGTAATTACATATATATTTTAATACAATCTCAAAACTAGTTTCACAAAATTTGCTGAATCACTAATTCTAGGGTTGAAACAAGTTATGAATATTTGGTTACCACTGTGGTCATGGCCTACTGAATAATTTTTACAAAAACTAATACATTAGACATTTTCTTTAAATATTTTTAAGATTCTTGCAAGTATGCATTTCATATATCTATACTAATATTATAAAGCTGAAGAGTTTGTTTGTTTGAAAGCGCTAATCTCCGAAATTTCTGGTTCGAATTGAATAATTCTTTTTGTGGTGGATAGTCAGTCTAGTTATCGAGGAAGGCTGTGGGCTATATAACATCACGCTACGACCAATAGGAGCAAAGATATAGTGGTAAATGTGTAAAAAACGGGAAAAATTATTTCATCTTTGAAGCCTTCCGTTGCGTGCGCCGTGAAAACGGTTCAAGATACACAAAAAATATGTATTAAAGAATAATAGCTCTTTTAATGATCTAAAAAACAGTCCGTGACAGTATATGTCTATCTTTTAAGATTAACTCACAAAAACTGTTTTTATGGTACCTAATTTGGTCGAAATAATATGTTTAAGTTGTATCAACATAATAATATTAATCTTTATTCAAATAAACAAATAAATATGTTGTTGGTTAAGACTACTTCATTGTGAATTAAAAAAAACATAGGTTTTTTATCCTGAAAATTCTACGGGAACTCGACCATTCCGAAAACCCCGCAAGAACGGAAACTATGTGGGAAGAACCAAAAATCTGCCGGAAGTGACTATTCCACGCGGGCGGAGTCGCGGCAAAGGCTAGTTTTTCTTATAAAACTACATACATATTCCTTACTTCCTTCACATAGAATATTCTTTTTGACTTATTAAATATGCCTTAATCTTTTTATGGCCTAATTTTGCCTCTAAATCAGTACAATGACACCAAAAGGGCAGTATTTAAAACAATATGTTTTGCCAAATGGCCATAATTATTGAGATGAAAATTTACGTTATTTATTTAAGTTTTATTATTCTAGACAAATCTTTTTGACAGATTAAACAGTCACCTGATAAGACAGAGATAAAAATAAACCAGTATAAAATTTACTCCCTTTAGAGTTTTTTATTATACATTGGTTAAATCGATTAAAATATTATCACATGATTAAAAATGTATGTATTTGTATATGAATACAATAAATGTAGGAGGTACATTATGTAACTCGGTAAAAAATAATCTCTCAAATTTACTTATTTATAAAATATACCTACTAAGTTGTTGGTACAAGATACTCAGCTTATTAAAATACTCCTTTATATAAAATAATTTTATCTGGTAATATGAACATTGTTTGAGGCTTAGGACCAACTTTTTACCGACACAAAAAAGTAATACTTCATAAGTTTTATACATACTAATGAAATACTTGAAATAATATTTATTAGTAAATAATTTTATATAATATATAAGAATTTTATGTGATGAATTGATTGAAAATGTTAGAGACCAAAATAAGTGGCAATCTTAGTTCATTATTTTATATTCATTCTGGACAGCCAAATCATTTTAGATTATTGAAGAAATGTATTTAGTGGAAATTAATGGTAATTACAAAATCTTCTATAAGGAGTTCTGTCGTAAGAAAACGTTTTTTTGTCATAGGTCTTAAATTTTAGCTCAACAGAATGGGACTAGATCCTGTTAAGGTGAAATTTAAAACCTATTGTGTGACCAGACATACTATATCTGAGTTGCAAAAATAAAAACCGGCTTTTTATAGAATTGTTTTCGGCGTTTGGAAATTTATTTTAGTAAGTTATGCAACTTACCAGTCTGGTAGAAGTGGTTGAGATGTTGCATTTGTTGATAAGTCCGACGACATACCTATAGTTTTTTGACGAATTTATTATGGCAGAGGACAATTTAAACATTGTAGTAGCCATGATTAATTATTTCTTTTAGTTTTAGGCTACGTTTTCTTCAACATTGACAATCTCTGACGTCTGACAAATCATGAGCGTATCACTCAGATAAATTCGGATTTTAAAATGTTATGAAAGACCATAGACAGTATTTACTATTTATTATTCAATATTTCAAAGCTTATGTAACTATTTATAATTGTGTTTGATATAAATTAATATCTATATGGTTGTACCTAATAGTTGTCTTCATATGTTTTTTTCCAATAATTGTTAGAATTCATTATTATTAATTAAGAGACGTTTCCCATTCTTATATACATTTAGAAATAAATCATTATGTATATTTATTAATATAATAAAACGATGCAAATGATTCTATAAAACAATTAACTTAAAATATTCTAATAATTATTATGTTTATCACTTATCTTTAAGAAAAACATAAGATCATTTAAAATTTCTTTACTGGGTTGTTAAAATTGAAATAGATAAAAACTACTTATGCCTACGGAGATTACTATTACTATTTTGTATCCTGCATAAAAAATAATATATTTCGCGGCATTATAAATATGATACCTCAATTTATACATAGTTATATGATATTGTTATAGGTGAATTTTATATAATCCCCATAGTACTTCAATAGTATTATAAATTCCATTGGAATATTGGTAAATAATCTTTATTTCTGAACGCAGCTACTGACAGTGCTGCCAACGGCTACTTTGTAAATTATTGCTAAGATCGGGCGTGATCGGCTTTGCTCGGCTCAGTCACGCCTAAACTCGTTCGAAAAGCGAAACTGAAATCATTCCATGGCGATGTACGAAGACTGATGCTCTTGTCGTGGACTACTTGTGCAAACGGGTTTCTTTGCATATAAAACGGAGAACAGCAACTGAAATTAGTTTTTTTATAACAATAATGTGAATTTAGTTACTAGTGGTGTTAGTGATTACGTTTAATATCAAGTGATAAATACAAAGAATTTTGTGAAGTGTTTCAATAGTGTTTCTCTGATCTTGCTACTTAGTCCTGGATTCACAAGGATTGTTCTAATTGAGACATAAACTTGCATACAGGTCAGTTTTAATAATTAGTTATATTGTAATTCGTTTAAAATTGTTAGGGTTTATTGAAATGGCTTCCGTTTATCGACTCGCTTGCGCGGTAATGGCTGACATTCTTTCCTTCCAGCAAAAGAAAAGTTAACTCCATAGTTTCGATTTTATAGTTTAAAACAGTTTTAATTATTAAATTTGAGACGGTGAAAAAGATTTTGTGTCTATCCGCATGCGTAGGTAGGAGATTAGGTCGGGTGGGTGGAGGGCAGAGAATGCATACAATCAACAAGAACGACCGGTCGCAGTCTTACATAGTAACATGTAGCTAGCTGCATTGTACCGGGCGGTGTTATAGAACATTTTTAAAGAATATTGTACCATAACTTAAATTTTTTCTGTACTATTTAAACTTAAATGGTAATTTAAATTAAAAAAAGTAGTTTGTTGTGTGAGTAAACTGCTTTATGTTAAATGTGTCATCGTTTCCCTCGGATCGAACGAGCCCCGTCGGGGTTTAAAACATAATATTTGTTGTTGCAGGTCTTTGCAGAGCTCACAGAACGGTCCCCACACTATGAAATTGCGCTTCCATACATTCATATGATCAAGTAGACATAGAAATAGAGAAATTTTGAAGCCCGTCCGTTTTTATTCCGTCATGGCTATTCTGTAAGTATACTCGATGTCGTCGATGTATTCAGTTCTTTCGAATATAATTTGTTTCTTTTTATTTATCGTTACGCTACCACGTTCACTCCCTCGTACGAACAGCATGCCAATTTGTATGATTTTTTTGTTACTCCCCTTTATAATGCTGAGGCTTTCGTCGACGTGTGACTATCAGTACACTGACCGCGTAGGGGCCGCCGGTGCCCGTTCACTCCTAGTACTAACCTATTTTTGTACGCGGCGATAGAAAAACATCCGTTGCACAGGTTGCTACATTCTTTCATGTTTATTTACGTACCTGCAAGACATTGTTACCATTTGTCAAAGCTTGAATTATTTGTTTTAAAATGTTTTAACATCTTTATAGCTGACCGAATGTCCGCTAGGGTTGCAAATGTAGTCAAGAGAATGTAAAATAGGTTGGTACTGATGACACCGGGGAAGACGGGTCACTGCGCGTCCCCGCTTCAGCTCACAAACTGACTCCGATCGCACTGGACCACTCCGAGCCTTCTCGTTACTGTTTGTTGTAAATGTAGGCGGATGAGCGCGTTTGATGTAAAGGTTTCGGCAGGCGAGTATAAGCTAGGGAGCGGTGCGGTGCGATGGGAACGTAGCGGCAACGGCGGACAGTGGCTGAGCGGGTGTATCGCGTTCCAGATGGACGGGTGGGTGCCTCCGTGGGCGACAACGGTAGGCCACATGCGCCCGCGCCATGTGGCGCGTGCTGCTGGCCCTCGGGGCCGCGTGCGCCGCCGCGCACGCCTCGCAGGACGTGGTGCGCAATTTCTCCGACCCTGTATCTGCACCTACATCCCTCTTCAATCACCTGGTCGTCGACCGCAACACGGGCCGAGTCTACGTCGGGGCTGTCAATTGGATCTATCAACTCTCCCCTGACTTGGAAGTAGCACAGTCGATTGTCACGGGTCCCGTCAATGACTCTGCGCAATGCACCTTCGATTGCCCACCCAACTTCGTGAAGAAACCGACGGACAACGTGAACAAAGCGCTTGTGATCGATTATGCCACGAGCAGACTTATAACATGCGGTTCGGTTCTTCAAGGCTTGTGTTCTGTGCGTAACCTTAACAATATTTCTCACGATGTACGTGAAGTCCGGGAACCAGTCGTGGCGAACAATGCCAGTGCATCCACCGTAGCTTTTATTGCGCCGGGTCCCCCGAACCCTCCTATGACCCAAGTGATGTACGTTGGAGTAACGTTTACAGGGAATTCTCCTTACCGTTCAGAGGTACCTACAGTGAGTAGTCGCTCCTTAGAAGATGACAGGCTCTTTATGATAGCAAGAACAGCCGTTACTACTGGTACGAGAATGTTTGTCAATTCCCTTTCACGAGAACGGTACCCAATAAACTATGTATATGGCTTTAGTTCGGAAGGATTCAGCTACTTTTTGACTACACAATTGCGTGGAGTAGGGTCAGACACTTACTACAGTAAATTAGTAAGAGTATGTCATGATGACGAGAACTACTATTCATATACAGAGATTCCTATGTCGTGTATGGGTGAGGGCGGCGGAAACTTCGGCTATAACCTGGTACAAGCAGCCTTCGTCGGAAAGGCGGGCTCAGTACTAGCTGGCGAACTTGGAATAACCGCGCAACATGATGTTCTCTTCGCAGCCTTTAGTCAAAGTGAATTGATAAATACTCACACGCCATCCAATCTATCGGCACTTTGCGTTTATTCACTGAAAGCCATACGACGGAAATTTATGCAAAATATTAAAACATGCTTCAGTGGCAACGGCTCTCGTGGCTTAGATTTTATATCACCGTCACACGCCTGTATTGGAACTAAGCTACAGTCGATAAGTGAAGATTTTTGTGGATTGGACGTAAATACTCCACTAGGAGGAGAGCAACCGGTTGAAGCGGTTCCCGTGGCGGTATTTAAAAAGAGGCTGACTGCTGTGGCAGCCACAGCTACCGGTGATTACACTGTAGTATTCGCCGGTACTGCCGAAGGGCATCTTAAGAAAATCGTCGTTGAGAGCGCTACCTCTGCATTCGAATATGGAGACATTGTTGTTGACGAAAACTCACCAGTGAACAAGGACCTGTTCTTTGACACCCAGCTGATGCATTTATACGTTATGACTGAGCGCAATGTGTACAAAGTAAAAGTTCAAGAGTGCAGTGTTTACAAATCCTGCCTAACTTGTCTCGGAGCCAAAGACCCTTACTGTGGATGGTGTTCTCTCGAGAACAAGTGCAGTCTTCGCTCTGATTGCCAGGAAGCTGCGAAGGATCCCTTGTACTGGATATCTTACCGCAGCGGAAGATGCACAACTATAACCCAAGTGACGCCGAATCAATTACAACGAACTACAGCAAGAACTTTAGATTTACTTATTGAGAATTTACCTACTCTTAATGGACAATTCTTATGTGCATTTACAGCTTTAGATCGTACTCTTATAACTAATGCTACCAGAACACATAATGGTGTTAATTGTACTACACCGCGTACTGATACTCTACCATCCATTCCAGCCGGTCAGCATCATTTTACCGCTAAACTTTCCGTGCGTACTACCCAGGGACCCGATTTCGTTGCAACGAATTTTACCTTTTTCGATTGTAATACATATAGTTCATGTACTCAGTGTGTTAGTTCGTCTTTTCCATGTGATTGGTGTGTTGATGGTCATCGATGTACTCATGATACTGCAGAGAATTGTAGGAATGATATTCTCGTTACGGGCGTTAGTAGAATCGGTCCCAGTTATCGTTCAGGTCCAGGATTTTGTCCCACGATAAACTCTACATCCGACGGCACTAATGAAATTCTTGTTCCGTCCGGAGTTAAGAGAGCTATTAAAGTTAAAGTTCATATTATAGGTCAATTCATCGTGCAAACAAGATTCGTATGTCAATTCAATATCGAAGGTCGTGTTAATCATGTAGGAGCTCAACTTCTTGCTGATACTATTTATTGTGAGGCTGTAGAGTTTACTTATACGTCACGCGCGCCGAACATAACCGCTTCCTTCGCTGTAATATGGGGTGGGTCGAAGCCTTTAGATAATCCGGATAATACACATATACTCATTTATCGTTGTAATGATATGGCGGATAATTGCGGTATCTGTTTAGCGCTTCCTGAAAAGTTTGGTTGCGGTTGGTGTCAAGGGTCAGACCGTTGTGAAGTCCAAGAACAATGCGGTGCCCCTAGCGTTTGGTTAAATCGTACCCAGACATGCCCTAATCCAGAAATTCATTCATTCCGACCTCAATTAGGCCCTTGGGACGGTGGTACCAATATAACTATAGAAGGTATAAATTTAGGTAGAAATATATCCGATATTTATAATGGTGTTACTATAGCTGGTATTAAATGTCAGCCTATCATTGAGTTATATGTGAAAACTAGGCGTATTGTATGTACCGTAGACGGACCGGGCGAGGAAGTTCCTAGGGACGGGCCGGTCGTTGTTAGAGTCGCAGATTACCGCGGCGAATCAAAACATCATTATGCATTTGTTAATCCGAAGATTAGTTCAATTCATCCTAAACATGGGCCACAATCTGGTGGAACGAAATTACGTATAACAGGGGAAAATCTAAATGCGGGAAGTAATATTCAGGCGTTCATAGATGACTTACCGTGCGCTATTTTATCGGTATCACATGAGGAAGCCGTCTGTAGAACTAGCCATTCCTATCAGCTCAAAATGGGTACGTTACGGATGCGTTTTGATAACGGTATGCGTACTTTGGAACGGGAAAAGTTCGAATATGTCGAAGATCCTGTTGTAATTTCGGTAGAATCTGGTCCACCATTACCATCACAACGAAAACAACCCAAAGGCATTCCGTCTGGAGGGATAAACATCAAAGTAATGGGGCGTAATTTTCATTCCATTCAGTTCCCACAAATATATGTGTATCACGATAATAGGCCGTATATAGCTCCTTGTATTATAGTCGAATATCAAACCCATCTCATATGTGAATCTCCCGGTATCGAAAGCGCTGGCCTGATTCTAGATCCCGATAGGCCTTTAGAGTTAGAATACGGATTTAATATGGATGACGTACAAAGTGTACAGAATCGAACGACCAAGACGGGCGAAGCTTTCCTTCTTTATCCGGATCCCATTTATGATAAGTTTGACGAGGATGTGAAATATTACAAGGGTGAATATTTAACTATTAACGGTCAGAACTTAGATAGGGCCTGTACAGAAAGCGATGTAGAAGTACATATAGGCGACAGTTTGTGTAACGTTACTTCTCTTTCTAGGCATCAATTAACTTGTAGGCCGCCGTCTCGAGACGAGTTGCCAGATGGGGTCGAGACCCCAGAAGTAGTTGTTAAGGTTGGTCGTGCGCTTACTTATAAGATTGGTAAATTATCTTATTCTTCGCAGGCTGGCCTGCAGGCTGCTATAGGAAAGCCAGTATTATTCGGTGTTATAGCGGGTATAATTATAATTATACTTGTATTTGTCGTGTTTCTAGTTATGTATAGGAGAAAATCCACTGAAAATATTAGAGTATTAAAAAATATGCAAGAGCAAATGGATATTTTAGAGTTAAGGGTAGCAGCGGAATGTAAAGAGGCATTCGCCGAGCTGCAGACTGAAATGACCGATTTGACGGGCGACGTGACTGGCGGTATACCGTTCCTTGATTATCGTACATACGCTATGAAGATATTGTTCCCTAACATTGACGATCACGCCGTACTGCAATGGGAACGTCCAGAGCTTATTAGGAAAGAAAAAGGTCTGCGATTATTCGGCCAGCTTATCATGAATAAAACATTCCTCCTCTTATTTATTCGTACTTTAGAAAGCAATAGGTATTTTTCGATGCGTGACCGTGTTAATGTAGCTTCTCTTATAATGGTAACATTACAAAGTAAAATGGAATATTGTACTGACGTCTTGAAAACTCTTTTGGCTGAGTTAATCGAAAAGTGCATGGAAAGCCGAAATCACCCTAAACTATTACTCAGGCGTACTGAAAGCGTCGCCGAGAAAATGCTTAGCGCCTGGTTTACGTTCCTCTTATATAAATTTTTACGTGAATGTGCAGGCGAGCCGCTGTACCTTTTATTTAGGTCGATGAAAGGTCAAGTTGACAAAGGGCCAGTGGACGTTATAACCTCGGAAGCGCGATACTCTCTCAGCGAAGAGAAACTAATTAGGCAGTCCATTGATTTTAAACCGATGACCGTTAGTGTTTCTATATCCCAACAGACCATCTTCGTTAGCGGTCTAGAGGCTACAACGGAAAACGTGCAAGTAAAGGTTCTCGACTGCGATACGATTAGTCAGGTCAAAGAAAAATGCTTAGACGCTATTTACCGGGCCACACCGTATTCACAGAGACCGAGTCGTGACGAGTTAGATCTAGAATGGCGTACGGGCGCTTGCGGTCGTTTGATTCTATACGATGAAGACAGTACCACTAAATGCGAAAGCGAGTGGCGCAAACTCAATACACTTAACCATTATCGCGTCCCGGACGGAGCCTGTTTCAGTCTAGTTGCTAAACAAAGCTCGGTTTACAATCTGTCTAATATGGAAAAGAATGACAAGTCTCATACGTACGAAACTCTTAATAGGGGTAAATATGGTTCTGCCAGTCCACCGGCTAGCCCGCTTAAGTACGAACACGGAGGCACTTTTAAATATTGGCACCTCGTTAGGCACCACGATGGTGACGCGCACAAAGAGGGAGAGCGTGGAAATAAAATGGTATCCGAGATATATCTGACGCGTCTTCTGGCCACTAAGGGCACTCTGCAAAAGTTTGTCGATGATTTATTCGAGACCATCTTCAGCACCGCCCACCGCGGGTCAGCTTTGCCTCTCGCCATTAAATACATGTTCGACTTCCTCGATGACCAGGCACTCCAACACGCTATTTCGGATCCCGAAGTGGTCCACACCTGGAAGAGCAATTCTCTTCCCCTCCGCTTCTGGGTTAACCTCATTAAGAATCCCAATTTCGTTTTTGATATTTACAAATCGAATACTGTCGATTCATGCTTGTCGGTTATCGCGCAGACCTTTATGGACTCCTGCTCGACTTCCGATCAAATTCTTGGCAAAGATTCACCTTCCTCTAAGCTTCTCTACGCTAAAGATATTCCAGTGTATAAGGAATGGGTAGAACGCTACTATGCGGATATAAAATTGATGCCGGCAATCTCAGATCAAGATATGAACGCAATGTTAGCAGAAGAATCGCGCCTTCACACCAAGGAGTTCAACACGAACTGTGCGTTGAACGAATTGTATGCGTACGCGGTGAAGTACAACGAACAGCTTATGGTGACTCTCGAGGAGGACGAGTTCTCGCAGAAGCAGCGGCTCGCGTACCGCCTCGAGCAAGTCCACGGCCTGATGGCGCACGATTATAACGTTTGAGCGACCAGTGCGAGGCTCGTACCCCACCGCCCTGTATATACTGCCCCCGCACATATCTATGCTGGCAGCATTGTATATATTAGATAGTGTACAGTCTTTAATATTGTAATTTTTGTATAATTTCAGCGGTCCGATGTCGTTTTTTAATTTTATATATGAACTTTGTATTGTTTTTACACGACGAATCCGACTGGCCGCGGTCGTGCCACAGTATGCATCGTAAACTAAATTGTGTATGTCTGTCTATGTGTGCTCGCGTCGTACGAGTTAATGTTACGTCGATCGGTGTAAAATGTGTGTCGCAAAAAAATAAAATCGCATGTAAGCTCGTCGGCGAGAGGGCATATCGCTCGCCGGCGGGCAATTTTTAAATTTGTACTCGCAATCTACTTAACGAAATAACCGTCAGTGATCCGGTGAACGATTCCATTAATAAATATCGTCGAATGTATGCTTGTGTTTGATTGAACGCGCAGCGCCATTGTCCCCGTCCGACGAAAGCCCCGCGCTCGCGCTCGGCAGCTGTCCGCAGGGAGCACGCGGTGCGGTGACGACCCGGGCCTCGCCCCCGGGGCTGCTGTAAGGCGGCAGGGATGATCGCGGCCCCGCTTTTTCAGTCGTTACCTGAGGATCGCGGCGCGCACGGCATTCGCGATCACGAACAACATATACTGCATCCCCGCTTACGTGCTGTGGATGATGGCGCTGCGCCTCTGCAGACCCTTGTACGCCCCCCTCTATTGGAAGGTCGAAGGCCTTATGTATCATTGGCTGTTGGCGATGGTCTCGCTGTGGTCCTGGACGGCCGGATATGACAGTAAGTACCGTTTGATACAATACAACATCAGCATCGCAAACAGATCAGCTGATAACGAACAGCATAGAGTCATAGTCGAAGCATTCTAATACAAAATCCAGTCTAGTTCTCGTTAGTGGTGAAGTAACTATGTGTAAACTTTTACCATTGTTCATTACGTCATATTTCCACGGCCGTACTTATGGCTCGCTATAAATTTCTTTTAAAACAAACATGAACGAACTCTTACTTTTAGATGTTGATTTTATTTAAAAATTAGTTCTCCTTTTATACGAGTGGCTTCTTATCTTGTAACAAACTATCTTATCTAATCTTCGCTGAGATATTTTTCATTTGTTCCAAAGAAAACTACAAATAACTACAAATGGTATCCGGTAATAAATATAATGAATAACATTAAGGAAACTATAATTAAAATAATATTGGTGTGGAGAAAACATAGGTACATTTATAATTATGAGATCTTAAGACTGGATAAAATATTTATGATTTGAGAGTATTAAACTTAAAAGGATACCTTAAACAAAACAATATTGTATAACATACACAATGCTATAGTTTATTTTATGAGAACTCGTAGTAGTTATCAAAGGTGAAGTTATAAATAGAGAATAGTACTACAATGAAACAATAAAAAGGCAAAAAGGTATACAATGAGATAAAAGTCGAGAAAGAGAAATATTACAAAAGAACGCTCCATCACTTTTCACCTTCAAACAGTAACTCATGTATTCTTAATACGCATGAAGTCATTCAATGTCTAAAAATACTACTTTTCTTATTAAAACAAAGAAACTCAAACTCAAGTTAAATCAACAATAGTTTATCTATAAATAATATTTGACCTCAATAGTAAAAGTTAAATTTATAAAGTCAGTCACTAATTTCTAACAACTTAGAATTTACCAAATATATCTGTCATCTTTACAGTATTAATTTCATTTTATCCATATAAAACATATTTTGAGACAACTTGTTGAGAGTATTAAATTTCATAGCAAATTGCATTAAGAATAGTTTTGAAACTAAATAGATAAGGTTGCATTCTTGATATTAATTTATAGTATAAAACAATGAGGTCATAAAACCATAAATAAAAATATATCTTATTCTTAACAAAAGTATAATATGAGTAATATTCATGAACACTGTCTTCAATCCTGCTTCAAAATGGTTCGAGCAAGGTAAGTTATTTTTTATATATTTTAATATAATTTACATTATCACATACAGAGTCTTTAATATTATAAAGTGATTCTGATATCAACAGTAGTTTACAACTTCTTGATACTACTGACTTCCTGGAATTAAAGATATGATATATGAATATAGTTGTTTTTAAGCAAATATTAAAGTTATCTTATTAATAGTATGATTTTTCCGTCACAATATTGAGTCACAAGTGACGTTATCATGACTAACTCATAAACATGGTGTATTTAAATTAAGTGAAACTTTGTGAATATTCATAATGTATGAGTAAGAATAGTTTTAAAGTATCTATTGTTTGAATATTTTGGTAACAAACGGGATGGAATGAATTGATATAATTTATAACTTGTAAGCGGGTCACAGTATATTGATGTGTGCAAAGTATTACGGTCGACTAAACCGTTGGACGATTTTGCTAAATAAACATTTACTGCAAACATAATAGATACGTATGGAAATTAAATTTTAACATGTGCATATTAATTTTACTTTATTTTTAACATGCTTCTATTTGTGAAAAGGAAATGTGATGCTCATTAAACATTTATGAAAGCGAATCCATTTTTAGCGTAACCGGAAAAAAAAAATGCTATATGTAATTCGTTGAAATTGCCTCATTCAGCCAGCTCGCTCTCCAAATGTAGGTTTCCAGGCTAGCCGGAGAGTTGTGGCGACGGAACGCATTACCCTCTTTCCGATTAACAGATAATATGCTCGTTTAGCCGCGGTTTTAGTTTTAGCTGGTTGTAATTGATTTTTGGTTTAGATATGTAACAATAGTGCCGAGCCGTTCGGTAACAGCTAGACCGGTCGTCGTGGCAAGCCTGTATTGACCTTATGCGGCTGCGTGTTCACGAGAGGACGGTCGATGACCGCTCCTACCCAGGAATGCCGCTCTCCCCACTCGCTACGTTGCTTTTCGACCGAATCTGCATGACACTATCGAATTCTGACTTTGGAACTTTTGCTGAACGTGTTTTAGTTGTGTTTTGATCGAAGTTTTATATTATGACTCATAGCGATACGGGATTATAGATACAAACGAATATACGACTGCTTAGCAACATTTGGATTTTTCTTGTAAGTTTGGTATAAATATTTCTAGTGACATGTCAAGGTTTTTAATAATGTTGATAAATATAAATGTACTATTTCGATACGCAATTGAATTATGAGCTATATATTATGTCTAATGCTCGAAATTTCAAATGTATTTGTTTAAGTCCCAAAGGTTGAGTCACGGTTCGCGTGGTTGTCGCCGCTCAGCGTATTGTTTAATGAAGTAAGACATAAACTGACTGAGACTCAAAACAATATGAATCACATTTATCGTTCGTATGCTTGTAATGAGATACTTGAGAATTTAATATAAATACTTCCTGTGAAACTCGCCGAATTCTTTTGAAAATATCATCAGATAACATAAAACCACTTAAATCCGGTACATGACTTTCAACCGGTGAAAGTACTGTAGCTTGGAATATTTCTGCCGTATCGATCTCATTGTATGATTGATGTTTAAAATGATCCCTAATAAATAATGAACTTTGCACTGTTATATACTAATTAATAATTTTAATACGATACCAATAAAATTGTAACATGTTTATATTGTAATTTGATCGTTTATTGAATGTTCAATTGGTCGGAATGTTACAGAACGGGTCCGTTATTTTTCAACGTATTTTTAATCGTCCGATATTTGTATATAGTAAATGTACATTATTATATAAGAAGCGATACTAAGTTTCTTTTGATATGACAAAGTTTTCTATGCGAAATAATAATGATTTTATATAAAACAGTTTTTGCCTTATAATGTTACGTGTACACATACATACATAATCTAAACCGTCTGTTCCAACTGAAACAAATGATATTCAATCGGTGTCCGCCTACAACGTGATTATAAATTTAAATCAGAAGAGCTATAAATTCCATAGAGGAGGACGTCCTCTCATTGTCCGGGATGCGGTGTATCACGTGTATCCTGGAACGATATGGTGCTCTCTAGGAAATTTGTATATCTACATCTATTTATAAATAACGCCAGTACCTAAAATATAAGCACCAATTTTTTGTTAATGTTTATAAGGCTCTGGAAATATCTTTTTGAGCCTATATAAGCATCAGTCAGAACGTGTTACCAGGGGAGTGACACAGCCAGAGTAGTGACAAATCAAAACAGGCTAATGACATACCATTGATTACTAGCTAAGAAAGGGAACTAATATTAAATTAAATTATAGTATTTGAATATTTTTATAAAATTTAAGTGTTAAATACAAGCTATAAGTGTAGTGTAATTATTCTTAGATAGAAACACGTTCACACGTGACTTAAGATGTTAAATCTCCATACGGTTTTGAGACAATGTCTTATCAAAAACTGAAGCGAATTACATAATATATGCAAGACGTTATCTACCACCCATGGAATCATTGTGATAGATGCTTTGAACAACTATTTATTTTGACACGAACATTTCTGAGACTATACGATTTTAGAGTTCTCAATCTAGTTTGTTTCAATGTTGCCATCGTAAAAAAATATTAATTACTAAAAGTTTTATCAAAAATGTCGCCATGTAACGAATTAATATTGTCCTTTGGTTTCAATAACATAAAAATATGAATTGGAAACAGCTCGAACGAAGTGGAATGGGAATTGATTGCGTGCTTTGTTTCATATCTATTGATAGTTTTTCATATATTAATGCACGTTTAACAAATATTTGTTTTCATTATTAAGGCTATGGCTTCACAAGAAATGTTCTTGTAAATTAAATTTTGACATATGCAAATGTCATGTCATCTTATTTTTTTTATTTGTGGATATAATTAGTGATATGCACATTATATTCTGCCAATGTCACGAAAAAGGTCTTATTATGGTGGATAAAATGACTTCAAATAAATTAGAGACTTTACTTTTATATCCTTCGTATTTTCAATACTCTAATTGATTGGTCGAAAGGGACTGGTCTTAAATGGCTGTCAATTATAATATTTAAGTAATTCAAGCATCCTTCCGCTACGTTTTATGAATCGGTCTATTGATTGCCTTTGTTTTTTTATTCGTACACAGGCTTCCGGTCATTTGAAATGCTCATTTGTTTTTTGCTATTTGTTAAAGCTTAGGATTTCAGTAATTCAATATCCCCGATGAAACAATTAATTTGAAATAAAAAAGTAACTGTTTTTTGTGATGAATGGAATATATGAAAAATAATACATACATGAGTGCTCGTATAGTTTTTATTGTATTACAAATTTTGATCCAAATTGTCTGTTATTCAGTGAATGACAAAAATAATTGAAACAAAAGGACGGGGCATAATGATTTTTTATTGTTATCTAGTTATTCGTCAGTTTCTCCTTATATTACGACGCGTTTAAAAACACATTTCAAAGAAACTAGTGACGTCATTCAGTTCTCAAGGACGTTAGAACTGCCAACTTGTCTTAGTATTATTTATTTTATTATCAATGCAGTAATAGTTGATTTAGATTGTAATAAATTTGTTTGTTTTGTCCCTTAAACAATAAAACGAGGATTCATATCACACTGAAGCTGTTAGTTTTAATAATATATGTAAATGAACATATTTTTTAAACGCACGAACTTCTTAATTTCAATGACTATAAAGCTGTAAATAAAGTCATAACAAATCATTTCATACTATTTTCGTTCTGGAGCCGAATGCTTTTTACAAGCACTTTTTTTGTGCAGGCCTCTA